TGCTGGGACATATCTGTGAAATCTGAATATCACCATACATTTCCTTTCTGTTCATTTCATAGCAGTTTGAAGGTGTATTTCAAAGCAAGTCTGGTGGTGAAGAAGTTCTACAGGAGTTTAAAACAACAGAAACCCAAGTGATGCAACAAGAAGACAGATGGTGAACATAGTGGTTGCTCACATGATTAATAAACATGGGTGGGTGTGTTTTTACTCATCTTATTCTATGTAAAAATGGACCACTTGTCACTAATCAGAAATAAGTAAAGTCCTTTATTTAAAATGGTCTTCTTTGCTAATACCTGTATGTTTTTGAAGCCCTCCTGCTCTGTGTGGTTTGCCTCTAGTTTACCTGGCGTCTCCAGTGCTCCAGCGTGCGTGTGGCAGTGGCGTGGGTCTGGTGGTGGCGTGCCATCCTGGTTTTCAAAACGCTAGTTGGTAAAACTGGGATAAAATCTTAGTGATTCACTATTTATCACTAATTCACAAATTATCTAATGATGTTAAAATATGTTTCTGTTGTCGTGTGAGGAAGGATGAGAAATTAATCTTAAGAATATAGATGGCTGTGTGTGGTAAATCAAACTGTTAGGGTTAGGGATCGATCCCTATAATTCCTTCTAAATGAAAGAATGCTGGACTGAACGTTGACCTTGACCCTGGTGTTGTCCAACAGGGGGATGAGTTGCTGGACGGCCGCTCTGGGAAAGGATTCAATTTGGACCTCCGGCACCTGAAAAGTGTTGCCCTTTGTCCTCTCCGGTACGGCACTGCAGTCCAGTGCTGGTCCCGTTCATCCTCCATCATGTAAGTTGTCGTGCTAATAGTTATTTTTTTTTATTAAAGATTTTTAAAACTTTTGTGAAAAAGAGAAGTCTTCCGTACTCGTGGTAAAACATTAATTCAGAGAACCCACAACATAAAATAAGAAGTACTTTTTATTTAAACAAATGAATTAATTAAAGAAATTGAAATTGCGAGCTAAAACACAGCAACGTTTCGATCCCTCAACAGGATCTTCCTCAGGCGGATGGCTTCCTCACAGAAAATTGAAATTGCAGAGGAGATCCTTCTGTGGAGCCGCTCTCTCTGCCTGTGGGGGGGGGCAGTCATCGGGATGACAGGCTTAAGTCCACGTCAACTGCTGCTGGGACTCGTCAGGGGACGGGGACCGGGTTTCTGCTTCCATCACCATCAGCTGGCTCCATGTTCCCAATCAGGGAGAGAGAGCGCCCCCCTCCAGGTCTGGACATGACAGTGAGGGAAGAAGAGAAAAGAGGTAGGAGGAAAGGAATCGCTGGGTCAGAGTTACTGTAAAAGTGTCCTATTGGTCCATTGACAGTGGTTGGGGGAAATAAAAAGGAGGAATAGGGCAAATGAAATCTAAAGGAGTAATTTAAAGCGAGGGTAACTCACCCTTCTCACGATCTGGAGGTGTGGTTCCTACCTGGGCAGCCTGTGAGGTGGGTTCATCACTTTTTAGTTCAATAAGCAAAGGAGTCAGGTCCTGACCTCCTTACCTTCTTCATTTTCCAGGTGATGAAGGCTGTCCAGGTGGAGAGGACCTCCCCCCCTAATGGATGTGGGGAGGGAGATGCTGTTCCAGAGGAGTGATGGTGAGTAGGTAGGTCGGTACCAACCTTCTGTGTGTCTGCAGCTGTTCTAGGCATTAGCGGCGCTGTGGAGTTCGGCAGCTGTGTGAAGGGAACCCCGACAACAGGAGGACGACAGAAATCCACATGCAGGGACACTATGGAGCCAGCCGGTAAGAGTCTTACAGCTCAGCAGAAGTCTGACCTTCACCTTAGTCTGACCTTGACAATATTTTATTTTTAATCTGACCTTGACTTTTTAAAAATATGACCTTGAAATGACCTTGACTTTTTTTTTTATATGACCTTGACTTTTTTTAATGACATTGAATTTTTTTATGACATTGTTCTGACATTCATCTTCATCTGACCTTCCCCTGAGTCTGACCTTCCTCTGAGTCTGACCTTCACCTGACCTTGGCCTGCCCGCTGCTTTCAGGACGGCGGGTCCACAGACGGCTGGAAATCGTGTGCCAACGGCTCGCCGTCTGACGCTACGCTGCACGGGAAGCTGCTCGTCTACAACGACCCCCAGAGGGCCGCCATTCACCAGGGAACCAACCTGAGAGGAGAGGGGGGGGTCCAGGCCCCGCCGCCCGGTTCTGGTCCGGTTCCAGCCTGGTTCTGGTCCAGTTCTGGCTCGGTTCTGGGTCAGTTCTAGCCTGGTTCTGGCTCGGTTCCAGCCTGGTTCTGGCCCTCCACGGTTCTGACCCACAGCTTTCCCTCTCCCTGCAGGTCTGTGCTTCAGGCTGTTCTACGTGAGTCCGGACTGGAGCTCCGGGCCGGTGGGGGGGCAGTGGGTCAGGACCATGCTGCCCATGCTCTACCCGGGAATCACCTCCCACCTGCAGATGAGCCACAAGAGAGACCCCACAGGCTACTTCTGAGGGCCTGAAGAACCGGACCAGAACAAGAGAGACCCCACAGGCTACTTCTGAGGGCCTGCAGAACCGGACCAGAACCGGGCCAGACCTCTGAGTCCTGCTGGGACCACAAGCTGCTCCCTGTTTTTCTGAATAAATGGTTAAAATCATCCTGGGTTTTGTGCTTTCTGGGTTCTTTCCAACGTGGGGGTGGGGGGGGGGCAGCCTGCTCCGGTGCGTTCCGGAGCACCCTGGGTCTTTTGGACCATCTGGACCTTCTGGACCCTCTGGACACTCATCTTTCCAGCAAAACCAGCCTCAGGACTCACATCCGAACTGAATATCTGCCTCTGCTCCATCAAAGGCAGCTGCAGTCTTGGTGTCCTGATTGAGGACCAGCTGAGGGTAAAGACCACCGGTCCTCTGCTGCTGGACAGCGTTGCTTCTTATTACTAACAGAAAGACCCCCTCAGAGTGTCCGAGAACCGAGGTCCTCCTCCCAGTCCGAGAGACTGACGAGGAGAATATGGGTGTGATCCCCATGATGACGCAGAGATCCGTTCTATACGGCTGGGATGATGAAGGTGAGTCTGGACCCTGCTGATCCTGGTTCTGGACCACATTTCAGAGGCGGCCGGTGTCCAGCGGGAGGCTCCAGTCTGGCTCCGGTCAGAGCAGTGGGCAGTAGCTGTCAGCCATGGGCTCAGGGGTCAGGGCTCTGGACCACTGGATGGGAACCAGGCTGGGGGCTTGGCCTGGGAGGTGTTACAACTACATTATGGACCTGTGTCCAGCCATCCGCCACGTAATGAATTTTTAAATTTTTAATCATTGAATTTTTAATTTATTTATAAAAAAAAAAGGCACAAACAACTAAAGGAGGGTTTCAATAAGGGAAACAATACGTAAAATGAAATGTAAGTTTTTTTTTTAGTTTTTTTATTTAGTAATTTTTTTAGGGATTTTGTAAAAATTTGATTTTTTTCGAAGTATTTAATGACTTATGGTGTGACAGCCACCAGGGTTGGCCTTGGCTTGTGTGCTGGGGGGCTGTTATCTTTTGTTGCAGGAGCCTGGGGGGTGGAGCTGCAGCCTCGTTGTTGGATGCAGCACACCTGGACAGGCTGTGGGGAGGGACTTAAAACAGGCCTTGGCTCACTTCCCTCCCCCACTCTGACATGCTCCACTCATAGTTCCAGACTGCCTCATGGTTTTGTTGGTTCTTTACAATAAATGACTGTGATTTCCGCCTTCAATCTGTGTCCCCCCTTTTGTTTTGTCATGGCTTTACAGCCAGGTCATGACAAAACTGGAGGCTCGTCCGTTCCTTTGGTCTTTTTTGCTATGGCGTTTGTAAGTATTTGCTGCTAATTTGGTTTTGCTGCAGGGGTAGGCCTGGTAGCTTGTTGTTAGCACAGTTTGGTACAAGGCCAATTGTTAGAAAGAAGTTGTGGTCATACGTTGTCACTTGTCTTTGTGAGAGTTTC